CTGTGCCATTATTATGCTAAGTTCAATAAATAAAATCTAGCCAGCCATATAAAAATATTTGGTATTTTGGACAAGATAAAATATCCCATTATTTCAAAGATTACATTATTGGGTATCTTTGTTATCTACAAAAACCTGATAATGGTTACAGTCTATTTAAAGTAGAATTATTTCTCTAGCAAAAAAAGAGGATTGCAAAACCTATCCACTAAAAGGTGAATAAAATAATAATGTTCATATATTCATAAAGAATATTATACATAGATAAGCACCTATGTAAGATTACATAGACATTTCTTTTTTTTTTTTTTTTTATTATTAGTTAAGGTATTACAAATGTGTCCTCATCCCCCCCATTAACCCCCAACCTCCCCCCCACACACACTCATGCTCCCATCCCCCTGTTGTCCATGTCCTTTGGTATGGCTTATATACATGTATACAAGTCCTTCGGTTGATCTCTTCCCCTTACCCCCGCCCTCCCCTACTTTCCTTCTGGGGATTGATAGCCTGATTGCTGTTTCTCAGACTTTGAGTCTGTCAAGGGGGGGCAATTCTAGACTGAGATATTAACAGTGAATTTTTTGCATTTCTTATGATTCTAGGGGCCTCATATACAGTATATAAATATATAATGTGACATATTTATGCATTTCAGTTCTCTATTGTATGTTTTGAATATTTGTTATTTTTTCATATCACTTCATATTATTATTATTTTTACCAATTTCTTAGTGATTTCTTCCTCAGTGCTTCAACTGTCCTTTCCTTCTTTTATTTTTCTCTTTCATGGATGCCATGTTCTTTGGAAGCTTGTTTGGACCAAGTTAATGGCCTTTAGGCTTCCCCCATGTGAATAGGAGTTCACTTTTTGAATAATAAGAATTATATGTCACAGGTGGAGGGGTAATCTGGATTTTAAAGATGCTTAGATGGGGCAGAGCCAAAAAAAAGGTTGGGAATCACTGATCTAAACCAAAATGCTGTCTTCATCTTGCTGTTGGGATTTTACAAAATGATGTGGGTGTTAGGAAAATCATCTTCCAGGTTTCCATACTTTTCCACTCTGTTCTAGAAAATGCCCACAGGGAAGACTGGGAAGTGCTTGCTGTGGGCACTTGGGGAGCTGTTCTGTGGCTTGCCTTTCTTTTTCTGTTTGAGGTCGGCAGTGTGACGTGGGCACGCAGCCTCGCCTGCTGATAAGGAGCAATTAGATGTATGAATTTGAAATTCAAATGGGATGATGTTAATTAAATACCAGTAATTGTAGCCTTCTGTGATGTTAAACTAAATTCTTCAGAAATACTAGAATTCTTTAGTGTCGTTGAAGGGAAAAAAGAGTGTAAATCTGACTGTAGGGAAAAATAAAAATTTTTAGGCTGAACTTACCTTATATCTCTGATTTTTAAAATGTTGTACCTGTGGCTAGAAGCATGATAGGGATGTCTTTCCTACCATGTGTTTCCCCTAAGATAAGAACCACATTTCTGAAAGTTGTGTGTCTGCAGCCCTGCTCCAGTGGGGTCCCCAGGCCCTGCGTGAGGTGGCCTTGCTGTTTGTTCCAAGTGGGTCAGCTCTGTGTTTTATCTGGGTCTCCAGCACTGCGGGACGACTGAAAAAAGGGCACTGACTGAACTGGAGCAGGATGACTCCTTACAATGAAAACGCTCTCACAAAGGGCCCACGTGCTGCAGTGCAGTCGCTTCTTGGGGTGGTGCATTTATGTCATCTTTGCGGGAGCTTCTCTCAGCTGTAGGCAGGGTCCAGGCGGGAGCTCCCAGGCAGTCCCTGGGCCAAAGGACAGGGGTGGGGCATGGAGTGGCCGGTGTAGTCCCAGGCCTTGGGAAGAATTCCACCCCCAACCCCTGCAAGCCCATGGATCCTCCTTTCATTGGCACGTGGGTCAAAGTGAATGAGATGATATCCACAAGGTGGCTGGCCTGTCTCAGGCATGCCATACCACTCTGCTCCTTACACACACGTTAGTTTACTGAGAGCCCTGGTGCCCATGTTGTGCCAACCCACCGAGGCCCTGGCTGGCCTGTGCCCAATGCCAGATGGCTGGCTTTGTGTTGTCAGGGATAGCAGGAGAGTTCATGTTTTTGTTGTTATCATTTGCTTTTTCAGGCGGATTAAAGAATCCCACAAGGAATTTTTCCATTTAATTTTAAAGTGTGAACTGTTTCTCCCCCTCCTGAGACTGTGGTGCAGGCTGCCTGCTCTGCCTGCTCTCTTTACTGCGGTTTGACAGTCCCAGCCTTCCGGAACAGGAAGCCATCCGTGCCTTTACTTTGCTTGAGTCCCTCATTTAATTTTGTTTTATTGTTTAAATTTTCTTACTGTGAAAGATACAGAAGTAGAGAGATTAGAATGATTAAGACCCATATATCTCTCACCTAGATCCATCGTGATGACATTTGGTCATATTTGCTTCATTAATAGCTGTGTAACTTTATTTATTTTTAATTCTTTATTGCTGAAAGTATTACATATGTCTCCCTTACTCTCCCATTGACTTCCTCCAGCCCACGCCCCCCCAACCCCGGCCCAGGTTCTCCCCCTGTGCATATATGCATAGCCTCATTTGTGTCCATGGGTTATACATATATGCATGTAAGGTCCTTGGTTGGTTTCCTCCCCCTCCACCCATCCTCCACCTTTCCTCCAAGATTCCACACTCTGTTCCATGCTTCCATGTTTCTGGATCCACTCCGTTCATCAGTTAATTTTGTTACTTAGATTCTACATATGAGTAAGATCATGTGATACTTTTCTTTCTCTGACTGACTTATTTCACTTAGCATGATACTCTGCAGGTCCCTCCATGCTATCTCAAAGGATAAGAGATTCTTCTTTTTTTATTGCTGCGTAGTATTCCACGGTATAAATGTACCACAGCTTTTTTAGCCACTCATCTACTGATGGGCACTTGGGCTGTTTCCAGGTCTTACATAGCTATGTATTTTTATGAAATATTTCACGGTATATTGAAAACATCCTAACAGTTTACCTCTACATATTTCCCTTTAAATATCTCAGCATGTAGCTCAAAAAATAAAAAAAATAAAAATAAAAAAGACATACTCCTACACAGCACAAAATTATTGTTGCACCTAACAAAATTCTCTTGCTATCTGACCCCGATACACCTAAAAACCCAGGCTGTATTCTGATTGTGTCAAAAAAGTTCTTATGTTTTTAAAAACCAGGATCCAGTTAAGATTAATACACTATATTTTTATTATAATTTTTGCCTCTTTACTTTGAATTTGGAATAACCCTCCTCCCCCCACCCCCGCTCTTTTTTGGAGAGAATAGGTTGTTTGCCTTGTAGAATGTTCACTTTCTGGATTTGTCTGGTTGTTTCTTTGTGGTGTTGTTTAACTTATGACACCCCTTTACTCCCCACTGCCCCATATTTCTGTTAGACCTGAAGGCCTGCTTGGATCGGGCAGAGCGTTTTGCTTCCCCTTCACCCCGATGCAGGTGCACTGTGCTCTTTCCCTTGTTTCCCATTGGGGTGCACCGGGATCTCGTTGGACACAGCTGCAGGCTGCGGCTCAGGAAGGGCAGCAGAACATGAGAGGTCTTGATGCCCGGTCCACACCTGACCTGCGAGGTTCCTTGGTTCCTGGTAGTTTAGACAACAGATGGCGCTAGTGTGCCTTTTTTTTCTTTCCAGTTTATAGTAATTTTAATGAGGGTATTATTTCTTTGAGTGTTATTTGGCAAACTGGTTAACCTTCCCTTTGTGATTAAGAATTAGTTGTATAATTAGTAAATATTTAGCCTGTTTCTTGGTTCTATTTGTGTGAATTTGAAGCTTACTCAAGAAAATAACCAGAAGTTTAAAAAGATAAAATTGTGCAAAGTGTCACTAGTCTCCTTGAACTACAGAATAAAGATAGTACATTTGTAGCTTACTTATTGTGCTAGTGGCTTTTGTAGAGTATAGAAAATATTTGACTCTTTCAAATAAAATGTAACTTAAAATTATTGGGGTGTTTTCTTCTAAAATTGATAATCTATAGCTGCCAAGCTGATGCTTATGTTTGTCTAGAACTTAATATTTCATATTGCTTCCTTGTCTGCCCTCTATAAGATATCATAAGTAATTAACCACATGAATCAGATTGTCTGTCTGCATCATTTTAAAGATTTTTAAAAAAAGCACCTTAGAAGATTATGTCATCTATTTATGTACTTCTGTTACATAAAATAAAGCAGTTCTTTGATAGTCAATGGCAGGTTGATATAAACTATTTCTTTGAATACTTTTGAGAAATTATAAGTTGCGTTTCAGGAAAGGGAACATTTTTCTATTTTATTTTTGTCTCCCAATATTATTTTCTTCTTAGACAGTGGGGTCCTTCAGTGATAGGTCACTTTCAAGCCCAGGGTCCTGCCACAGTTCAGAATCTGTCCCTCCTGTACCTCCTTGCCCCTCCCCCCTTTTTTTAAAATAGGAAAAACATTTCTCAGATATTGGATATATTTTTTTTTCTAATTTTATCAACATTGGCACATTAATCATTAATTGGTAGGCAGGTAGTTGGGAGCATTTAAGATATCTAGACCTTTACACCATGCCAAAAATATTTTTCTTTTCCTCCTGCTTTCCTGAGATTACTGCCTATTTGCAGCTTCTCAACTCCCAGGCCTGGCGGTAGTGGGAGACGCTTCTAGAAATGGAGGAGGGGGGCCAGGCCCCCACCTGGGCTGAGTGGGCCTCGCCCTGCTCACAGGCTGCACCCTTCCTTCCCTCTGGACCCCAGAGCCACACTTGGGGACCTTTTTTTTATTTTTGAATTTTTATGAGTTTATTTGAGCCAAAATGAGGACATATGCCTGGGAGCAAGATCTCGAATGCTTCCCCTGGGGATCGCCTTTGGTGCGTCCACTATACACTGCGGGTCACCTGGTGGTCAATAGCTCTTTGGTAAAGCCACCAGCCCGCAGTGCACAGTCTTAACTACCCGTTTCAAACTGTTTCATATCAGGACCGACAGAAGCTAATACTAACTCAGCTAGTGTTTCAGATGGTAACTCACCTAGTCTGTGGCGGGACAACCCCGAGCCAGAACCAGCAGTGAAGCAGAAAGGTAAGGACGGCTTTTTCACTCCTTTCCTGGGGCGCTGAGTCCCCCGACGCGGTGCTGCCTGTGGGCATTTCCCTTCTTGGGGTCCTGTCAGAGCTGTGGCCCACACGGGGCCCTGTCCTTACCTTCATACGCCAGGCCTAGACCTGGCCATGACTCCCTTTCTCCTCTACATAAACGAGAGCGGAATATTCTAGTCGTTGCTGGATAGACCAGCCTGTCCCTTGTCCTGGGAGTTTTTCCGGAGGGAGGTAAAGTGGCAGACCCTGGAGTGTAGGAATGACCCTGAAGCCAGCCTCAGCCACTGCTGGGCTTCCCGCAGGCCAAGCACACACCACTGATTTCATGTTCAAAGATGACTTTCATCAGCTCACAACACTGTCATCAGCTCACAACACTCTCATGACCATGGTTTTCTGTCTGTAATGTTCTTTCAGTGTCTTAAGTTGCACCTGGTTAGTCTCTGCTTTTGGCATAGTTTTCTTAGCATTTTAAAAAAAGTTGTGATGAAATGCACATTCTGCATTTGTCTTCTAAGGCCTGGAGTTTCTATCGGGCTAGGGGGGTGCCAGGGCCTCCTTGATGTCGTGCCCCAGAAGCAGGGCTGTGCGGGCCGGTTGCTGGGTGGCCAGGGGCTGCTGGGGCTGGTGTGGCTGGGTGGGGCTGACATTTGTCCATTTGCTCAAACAGAAAACACCTGTTGGAGGCCTAATGTGACAGGCCCTGAGCAGTGAGTGTGTTAGTGTGCACAAAGCGGACAGAGGACAGCGGTGTCAGGCCCTGGACAGTGAGTGTGTTAGTGTGCACAAAGCAAACTGAGGACAGCAGTGTCAGGCCCCGGGCAGTGAGTGTGTTAGTGTGCACAAAGCAAACTGAGGACAGCGGTGTCAGGCCCCGGGCAGTGAGTGTGTTAGTGTGCACAAAGCGGACAGAGGACAGCCGTGTCAGGCCCCGGGCAGTGAGTGTGCACAAAGCAAACTGAGGACAGCGGTGTCAGGCCCCAGGCAGTGAGTGTGTTAGTGTGCACAAAGCGGACAGAGGACAGCGGTGTCAGGCCCCGGGCAGTGAGTGTGTTAGTGTGCACAAAGCGGACTGAGGACAGCAGTGTCAGGCCCCGGGCAGTGAGTGTGTGAGTGTGCACAAAGCGGACTGAGGACAGCGGTGTCAGGGCCCGGGCAGTGAGTGTGTTAGTGTGCACAAAGCAGACTGAGGACAGTGGTGTGCACCAGAGCTGGAAGGGACTTGGCCACCGGGTCAGGGACAGCCTGTGGGTAGGAGGAGGACACAGGCCGGCCACCAGGAACCTCGAAGCACAGAGGGCCATTGGGGGACAGGATCATCGGGACGTGCTCCCACTAGGAGTCGTGGCCATATGGGAGTTTAGCAGCAGGGAGCCATGATGCTTTCAGGAGTGGCTTAGTCACACCACGTCACGGGACTGAAATTGCCATGTGCACTTTCTCACACCTTGGTGTCATCTAGAGCAGCGGTTCTCAACCTGTGGGTCGCGACCCCTTTGGGGGTCTAACGACCCTTTCACAGGGGCCGCCTAAAACCATCGGAGAAAACATATATAATTACATATTGTTTTGTGATTTATCTCTATGCTTTAATTTTGGTCAGTTTGTAACAATGAAAATACATCCTGCATATCAGATATTTATATTACTATTCATAACAGTAGCAACATTACAGTTATGAAGTAGCAACGAAAATAATTTTATGGTTGGGGGTCACCACAACATGAGGAACTGTATTCAAGGGTCGCGGCATTAGGAAGGTTGAGAACCACTGGTCTAGAGCCACATTCTCCCGGCCCCTTTTAACCGCCCCTCAAGTTCCTCGGGCCCCACTGGTCACCAGGCCTGTCCTCTGCTTTCACTCTGTGGGGTCCTGTGGGGCCTCCCGGTTCCCGCTGCCCCTGGGGCACTGTTGCTGTGGCTCTGTGTGGTGTTTCATAGTCAGTGGAGAGTCAAGTCCTCCTGCAGGTGGACAGAGCAGGGGGCCGAGAGTGCTCTTCACCCTGCGTTGGCCTGTGGGTCCTCCCAGTGACCCAGGGGCGTGTAGTTTCAGCTCTTCTGCACATGTGTTCGTGCATTCTCAGAGTAACACAAAAAAGGACGATCCACCTGTGGGTTGAACCCACCCACCCTACAACCCTATAGTGCTTCTCTCAGCTACCTGTGCCCTGAGCAACACTTGAAGGAAAAGGACCCCGGTGACAAGTGCAAAGGTTACTCCTGTGGAGCTTGAGAAAGTTTCTTCTAATTTAGGAGCTGGTGGAAAAGTCCTCACTGACCAGTTGTGGGAGGCTGGTTGCTTGGTCTCACCCGAGTCCTAACCGTGGCCGGCAGTTCCTTCGAGGAATGGCCTAGACCCGTACATTTGGAGTCAGTCGTGTTTGTCCTATGACACACTTTCTTCATACCAATTTCCTGTTATAACATGTTGTGAGTCATAGTTTTCTTTGTTCTTTGTTTTTCTACCTTTGAAAACAAAATAGTGATAGTAACTAGAAAAGAAGTTTTGAAGAAATGACCATTTTCCCCCTAATAAAACCCAAATTGTTTATTATGTATTTTTCTCTAATACTGTTCTGCTTCTTTTGTATACTGAGGTTTACTAACACAAAAGTGAATTTCTGATGTGGTCTTTTTCTTTTTTTCAGGTGATTCCCCTAGTGTTTCAGGTAAGGAATGGCGCTGAGTGAGTGCTCGGTATGAATTGTGTGTACACGTGTGTACAGATGCAGACATGCTCTCAGATTTATGTCTTACAGGTGTGTCAGTAAAACACGTCTCCACTATCCCAATTTAAGATTTAATCTGCATGTTTTATGTGTCAAAAATACATTTGAAGCCCTAGCCTGTTTGGCTCAGTGAGTAGAGCGTAGGCCTTTAGACTGAAGGGTCCCAGGTTTGATTCCAGTCAAGGGCACATGCCTGGATTGCCGGCTTGATCCTCAGTAGGGGGCATACAGGAGGCAGCCAATCAATGATTCTCTCTCATCACTGATGTTTCTATCTCTCCCTCTCCCTTCCTCTCTGAAATCAATAAAAATATATTTAAAAAAACATTTCAAAGGATTTCTTTCCAAAATATAAAGTATATTTTCAATATTCAAATTCTGATGGATTTTCACTTTTACTTTAAATAGTGGAGTAAATGTAATTGTCTTAATAGTTTGGACTTGTTATTTACAGATTAAATCATTTTATCAAAGTGAAGACAATTTTGTTCAGATTATAAATATAATATGGTGTACTCAAAGTAGAAAATTTTTAAAATGAAGAAAATGAAAAGCACTGGGAATTCCACTGCTCACAACTTAAATGAAGACCTTCTAGAACCCCATGTATGGACATGCAGTTATTAGATGTATCGCTGTACTCTGCTGGTTACATGTTAAAATGATGGCACTGTTTACACTGAAAGGTCTTGCGTGTGGCAATGCCGTATTGGCCAGATTGCCTGTTGTTAGTCACTCGTGGTGACGGGAGCCTCCTGGCACATGTGTTATTTAACGTGTCCATTTCTTTAGGTTGTATTTTCTTTAAGTTAAAGTGCTGAATTGATTGATCTACCTTTTTAGTTTTGTTTCTGGAGGAGTTGAGCCAGGGTTGGAGGGAGCCCATTTCCCTGGTCCTCACCAGAGTTAGATGCCAAGAGTCTGTTTTATCTTCATCAGGGTGATGGGTGAGAAAGCTCATTTATATTTGCAATTACTTGGTTACTGTCTTCTCCAGTATGTATCCGTTGTTTCTGTTCCTTCCTTTGCAAACTGCTGACTGGGATGCCGTCCCCTCAGAAGGAGAAGTGGGACCCATCAGCCAGGAGAAGTCAGAGGTGCCCGAGAACCCTGAGGTCCCCCCCGAGCTCCCGTCCGGTGCCAGGTCTGTGCTCCCCCCATGCGGAGCTGACACGCTCCTCTCTATCTCCTGCAGTTCATGTAATGCTTGAGCTTAATTCTGAGGAGACATTTGTACTAAGAAGCAAAACCCGTGTATTTTATTTAGTCTTCCTGTACCTGGGTGACAACTAACGACACATAGAACATTTTAGAGATTTAGGGGAATGCATACTTATGGCTAAATTATGTCATGTTTTGATTACTGATAGTTATTTTTGTACCTTAAAATTAATGAAAATGACAAAGATTAAATGATGGGTCCTTTTAGGTTAATGGCATTTCTTAATATCCTGAGCGTATGTGCAGACTAGGAGGCAGATGGTGGCTGGAAGGCAGTGCTGAGCTGACCTGGGTTTTCTGTTGTCTACTTTGAAATGTGGGAGTGTTTATACCCCTGATTTGGTTTTCCACTGTCTGGTTTTAGAAGAATTCCTCGGCCTGGGAGTGCCAGGCCAGCGCCTCCCCGAGTGAAACGACAAGACAGCGCAGAGGTGTTAACAGCGGACAGGTGAGGTGCGCTCTAACCGGAGGGGCAAGGGGCTTCTCCCGGTGTGTGGGACCTCGGGATCGATGGGAATCGGGCACATGCTGCAGGGGAAGGGTGGACTGGATGGTGCTGGGAAAACTTGCTGTTGAGAAAAAGAAAAATCAGGTTAGACCCTCACCTGAAACCACACATGGCCTCACTTTTCAGATGGGTGAGAGAGAACACAGGCACTCCCACAGTTAAACCTTCACAATACGTGGGGAGGATGTTCAGGTGCATTTCTCTGACCTCTGGGTGGAGGGTTTTCTAAGCGTAAACACAGTGAGGGGAAAAATAGGAAAAAAGATTTAAAGGTTTAATTGCACAGAAATAAAAAAACAAAGGTTATGAGAAAATCATAAACAATATAAAGGCCAGCGCCAGGTAGGGCTTTTGTAAGTTTACAACCTGCCAGTGAATGCAGTAGGATCTGTAAGGTACAGAAGTCAACAGGCTGGGTCGGGTGTTTCAGATAGAGCAGGAGGTCGGACTTGGATACGGCAGGTGTAGGCATTTACTCAGGTTTTGTTGCAAAGAGACAGAAGCAAAGGAAGGGCAGTAGGGAGTGGGAAGGAAGGCAGAGCCGAGGGAAGTTACTGGTTCTTGTTTTGAAGACGAGAGAATGAGCACATTTTTGGGTGACAGGATGATCCTGTGGGGGCGGATTTGGTGATGTGGGCGAAGCAGGCTGGGGGTGTTGGAACAGAATCCCTGAGTGGGCAAGGGGGCGTGGAGAGTTAATATGTGGGTGAGTTCTCTCTGCCGCTCAGTTTTCCTCATTCACCAGGAGTCTGGGGAGGAGGAGCAGGAGGTCTCTACGAGAGGGGGCTGTACAGAGGTCCTCATCCAGGGGTCACCCCACCCCCGGGGATGTTGGGGCCATGTCTGGAGTGGTGACATGACTGGGGAGGAGGTGGAGGGAAAGTTCTTGGCATCCAGTTGGGGGGTTTGGGGCCAGGGCTGCTGCTAAACATCCAACAGTGGACAGGCAGCCTCCCACCGAGAGCGACAGGCCCCTGTGCTGAGCTCCTCTCACATAACCTCGCACTCAGCTCCAGATGCATGGGGTGGATGAAAACATCATCGACAAGATTTCTAATTTAATCTGATTTCTTTGTATTTAGGACAGGAAGTGGTCAAACCGTCTCCAATGTGATTGTCGATGTGCAGAACTCTGAGAACGAAGAGGACGACCAGTTTGTGGTGGAGGCTGCGCCCCCTCTCTCTGAGGTGTCAGAACTCGAAGTGGTTAGTGCCCCGGCCTGGGGGTTTGGTAATGACACTTTCACTCCAGTGTTCAGATTTATGCAGACAGAACTTCTAATTTTTCAGTTAGTTTTCTACCCTAATTTCGCCATTCCTCTGATGAGATCCATGAAGGTAGGATTTTGAGAATTCAACAAACCCGAATCTCCTTTCTTCTCCTTCCTTTCCTGCTCAGGTACACGCAGTGGAACTGGAGGAAGATGAGAAGCACGGTGAGTGCTGGTGTTGGTGTGGGCTGGAAGGGTCAGACGCAGGAGTCCGACCAGCAGTAGATAGGGCTCCATGGGCAAGGGTCCCTCTGAGGTTGGTGCTTTTTATTCTGGGAGATGATGGATGCTGCTCCCATCCTGGGGGACCCAGGGGCACCCCGACCCTGGAGGTCAGGTATGAGCTGTTTCGTAGGTGACTCCTTTTCTTATCCGTGTGATTACATTTGGAATTGCATGACCTCCAAGGTCATTCCCAGGTGGACAGTTCTGCAATGTGATCTGCTTTATTTCATACACCTATGAAAGCAGAGAATAGGCTAGTGACCCCTTGTCCCCATCACACAGCTCCCACAGTGAGGCTGATCTTGTTTTATTTCAGCCTCCACCCCCCCAACCCCACTCCCCAGGCCCTTTGCAAGTCCCAGGGCATCATTTCTTCGGGAAATACACCGTACGTAGCTCTAAAAGATAAGGGCTCTTTTAAAAAAATATAGCCATAAATTCATTGCCATATGTACAAAAAAATTACTTAGTATCATCCATGCCTCTTTTTCCAGTTTTTGTGTTTTTTCAGTTTGGCAGTCCAGACCAGGCCCCTGCATTACAGTTGATCTGACTGAAGTCTCCCCTCACTCGGGGCCCTCCCACCCTTTCCCTCATGATGTATTTATTGAAGCCAGTCGTCTGAGTTTCTCACGCCGAGGTGCTGCTTATCATACCCTCTCGTATGCCTTTTTCCACATTCTTGGAACTTAGTTCTAGGGCAGTGGTTCTCAACCTTGGCTGCACATTAGAATCACCTGGGAATCTTTTTAAAATCCTGATTCTGGGCCTCATCCTCCGGAAATTCTGTTTCTTTGTTATGGGGTGGGGCCACAACATTAGTAACAAAGAAACAGAATTTCCGGAGGATGAGGCCCAGAAATCAGGATTTTAAAAAGATTCCCAGGTGATTCTAATGTGCAGCCAAGGTTGAGAACCACTGTTCTAGAGAGTTGATCAGATTCAGGTTTTTTAAAATTTTAAATATGTTTTTATTGATTTGAGAGAGAGAGAAAGGGAGAGGGAGAGAGAGAGAAACATCGATGTGAGAGAGCAGCACCCATCGGCTAACTCCTGTACACCACCTACTGGGGACTGAGCCTGCAACTGGGGCATGTGCCCTGACCAGGAATCAGACCTTCAATGCTCAACCACTGAGCCATGCTGCTGGCTCTACATTTCTTCTTCATCTTTGGAAACAGAAGAGAAAATCTATTTTATTTCTAAAGATTATTTTTCCCTTTCAAGAAGCTGATTTCTTTGAAACCATAGGAAGCTGTAGAGTTAGTTTCCACCACCAGTTGTTGTATCAGTCTGATGCGGGCTATCTTTATCAAATAAAGGTTATTGAAGCTGTTTTGAGTGTAGAAGGAGAAGAATAAGGACTTGGGTGTTCTTGCCAGCCCTCTGCCCGATCAGAGTAGAGTAGCTTCAAAGGGCAGAGAACAACTGGAGCATAAAGCTGCTGCTTCTCAACAGGAGGACTCGTCAAAAAAATTCTGGAGACAAAGAAAGATTATGAGAAGCTGCAGCTGTCACCCAAACCTGGAGAGAAGGTAATGGAATGTCTTGTAAATATCAGCATGTTAAGTGTCTGTTTCATACATTTACTTGAAAAAACTAGAAGCACCGTTGGAGCGTGGTTACACAGTAATGTCTGTTTATATGTAGAAAAGCGCCCCCTCCCTCAGTGGGGAGGGAAGACACTGCGGCTCTTGCAGTGGCTGTCACCTCCCCGGACCTGGGTCAGGTCTGCCCTGGGTGGACAGCAGTCTCGCTTGGGGGCTCAGGAGTCAAGGGCCAGGCCTGCTCTGCTCTGACTCCATGGCTCTCCCCTTCCTGCCTCGTCCATCCCTTCGTTGCGCAGAGCCAGGAGCAGGCCGCCTGGCGCTGGCTGATCGAGAGGCTGGGGGGAACTTTCAAGTCTGGCTTTTAAATACAGGCTCCTGGTATCAGGCCTCCCAGCAGTCTTTCTCACAGTATGTGATGAGGCTTTGTTGGGACCCAGGGCCTCCTGCCTGCCACTGCCCCTTAGGCATGTGACCCTGGGGTGAACACCTGCAGGCCAGGCAGTGTGCCGCAAATGTCATGTCCAGGTTTCTGTTATATTCGCTTAAAAAAATAACAATATTTATTGTGTGTTTTTTACAGAAAACAATTTCTTAGAGAGTTCGTTGTATCAGCAGCCACAGTTCCCATGTTTTACACATACTCACACACATGTTGATTTAATGGTGGTTTTAGATAATTCTGCTTAAAATGACCTCGTTTTGTCGTGGAGATGTGGCCTGAAATAGCCTACGAGAACCATGCAGTGAGAATACCACCAGGGGGAGCCTTTAGATCAGTGGTTCTCAACCTTGACTGCACATTAGAATCACCTGGGAATGTTTTTAAAATCCTGATGTCTGGGCCTCATCCTCCGGAAAGTCTGTTTCTTTGTTATGGGGTGGGGCCACAACATTAGTAACAAAGAAACAGACTTTCCGGCGCATGAGGCCCAGAAATCAGGATTTTAAAAAGATTCCCAGGTGATTCTAATGTGCAGCCAAGGTTGAGAACCACTGCGTTAGATGCTCACAGGAGAAACATGTTGCCCGAGGCTTCACGTAAGAGCACTGCTTGCTCCCCTGAAGGAGGCCGACCTCTGGCCTGCTGTGTGTGTCTGTGGAATTTCAGTCTCAGAGTCCTTTCCACAGGCCAGGCATTGCCCTGCCAGTCCTCGCTGTGTCCCCAGCCCAGTGCAGGGGCCTGCCTCCAGGCTGGGACTGGAGTGGTCAGCCTTCGTAATTGGTTGTGGTTCTACTTTGCACTTCTTCTGTGGCTGAGGATCCTGCCGTCCAGTGGCTGGTTCCTGCTCTTCTCACTCAGTGCTATTGAAGTCCTGAGGCGGCTGGCTGCCCTCTTCTCTCAAACTGGTCCTTCCTGTCCCTTTTACCAAGTCAGCTTCCTTAGTGGGTAATTCTGTTTTCCTATTTCCCTTTTAGTTTCTTTCGGTAATTAGTATTTGAATCAGGATCAAGTTGACCTACGAGTGAAGGAAAGATCCGGAACAGTAGTGGCTTACATGAGGTAGAAAGTGCTTTAGCTCATGCGCCAGAGCCTGGAGTGGCAGTGATCCAGACGCCTTCCACCTCTTTCCTTCTGACCTCCATGCCTCAGGGCACCTCCTGGGCCCAGATGGCTGCCCAGTTCCAGCCTTCAGGACTGCATTCCAGCCAGAAGGAAGGAGGAAAAGGGAAGTAGGAGAAGGGCACACCTCTGCTCTCTCAGGCTATTGATTGGGAGTTGTGCACACCACTTCCACTTACATTATGTGGGCCACATTTTTGTCACTGAGGGAACCATGAAGTGACATTTTTATTGCAGGCATCAGTTTGCTTGGCTAACCATCAAGGGTTCCATTAACACAGACTAAAACTTTCCAGGTTTCCTCACTGCCTGGCACACTCAGAAATGATAATATTTGCAAGGCACATGGGTCAGTGGAGGAGGCTGCCTGCCTGGCTGGGGCCGAGGATTTCTGGAACTAGCACGGCTACCACATGTGGCTGCTCTCAGTGGCAGGAAGCTTGTCAGAGGTCAGAAACGGGGTTGACCAGCAGTCTCTCCACGGTGCTTCTCCAGGAAGTTGTTCGTTTCATTCATGTTTTCCAAAGTCATGGCAAGAACATGTTTGACGTATACTTTATGATTTAAAAATATATCTATAGTTACAGTTTTCCTTTCCTTCTGGAAATGTCATCTTTTTTTTTCCCTTGAGGAGACTTTTGTAAAACTACTGAAGTAGGCACTCCCTAGCAAAGAATTAACTTTGGTTTTGTAGATACTCACTTTTGTGTTGTTTTCATTTCAGTGATTTCTGCTCTTTTTTCTTTTAATTTCTTTTTAAAAAATATATATTTTTATTGATTTCAGAGAGGAAGGGAGAGGGAGAGAGAGAAACATCAGTGATGAGAGAGAATCATTGATCGGCTGCCTTCTGCACGCCCCCTGCTGGGGATAGAGCTCACAACCCGGGCATGTGCCCTTGATCGGAATCGAACCCGGGACCCTTCAGTCCGCAGGCCAATGCTCTATCCACTGAGCCAAACCAGCTAAGGCCCTTTTAATTTCTTTTTCTTTTTCTTTTTCTTTTTTTTCCTTTTAATTCCTTTATGCATTTACTTTTTCTAGCCTCTTGTGTAAAACTTAGCTCATTTATTTTTAGTTTTTGTCATTTTTTTTTAATTAAATCTTTATTGTTCAGATTATTACATTTGTTCCTCTTTTTTCCCCCCATAACTCCCCTCCTCCCAGTTCCCGCCCCACCATCCGCCCTCACTCCCCACCCACTGTCCTCATCCATAGGTGCACGATTTTTGTCCAGTCTCTTCCCGCATCTCCCACACCCCTTTCCCCCCCAAGAATAGTTAGTCCATTCCCTTTCTATGTCCCTGATTCTATTATAATCACCAGTTCATTCTGTTCATCAGATTATTTATTCACTTGATTCTTAGATTCACTTGTTGATAGATGCATGTTTGTTGTTCATAATTTGTATCTTTACCTTTTTCTTCTTCTTCCTCTTCTTAAGGATACCTTTCAGCATTTCATATAATACTGGTTTGGTGGTGATGAACTCCTTTAGCTTTTCCTTATCTGTGAAGCTCTTTATCTGACCTTCAATTCTGAATGATAGCTTTGCTGGATAAAGTAATCTTGGTTGTAGGTTCTTGGTATTCATCACTTTGAATATTTCTTGCCACTCCCTTCTGGCCTGCAAAGTTTCTGTTGAGAGATCAGCTGACAGTCGTATGGGTACTCCCTTGTAGGTAACTGAGTTTCTTTCTCTTGCTGCTCTTAAGAGTCTCTCTTTGTCTTTTGCTCTTGGCATTTTAATTATGATGTGTCTTGGTGTGGTCCTCTTTGGATTCCTTTTGTTTGGGGTTCTCCGTGCTTCCTGGACTTGTAAGTCTATTTCTTTGACCAGGTAGGGGAAGTTTTCTGTCATTATTTCTTCAAATAGGTTTTCAATATCTTGCTCTCTCTCATCTTCTGGCACCCCTATAATTCTGATGTTTGTACGCTTGAAGCTGTCGCAGAGGCTCCTTACACTATCTTCGTATTTTCGGATTCTTTTTTCATTTTGCTTTTCCGGTTGGGTGTTTTTAGCTTCTTCACATTTCAAATCTTTGCCTTGATTCTTGTGGTCCTCTGGTCTGCTGTTGGGAGTCTGTATAATATTCATTATTTCAGTCCGTGTATGCTTAATTTCTAGTTGGTTCTTTATCATAACATTGAGGGTCTCATTGGATTTGTTGAGGATCTCAATAACTTTATGGGTGGCTTCTAGACAGTTCTTGAGAGACCTTAAAAGTGTGGTTCTGAACTGAATATCCTCCATTGACAGTTTTGTCCTGTTTCTTTGTCTCCGCATTTTTTATGCTTTCTTGGTGCACCCCCTAGTGGTCTTTGTGTGCAGTCTTGTTGTAGTTAAGCCTTGATTGTTGTAGTTAATACTAGGGGGATTTGACCTCCAGGCTAGCTGGCTGTGAGAATCAGCTGTGTCTGCAGTGGGAAAACTTCTGTCCTCTAGGGAGGTGCTAATCTAGCCTTTGCCTGAGGCTATCTGGCAAATGGCTCTACGCAGGGCTTGGGCAGGGCGGGTGGGCTGCTCGGGCTCGGGATCAACAGGGTGGGCCGGAGAGAGTAGTTATGGCTGCTGTCAGTTCCGTCCCTAGGGGCTCTGCCTCACAGAGTCCCAGCAACCGCTGCAAACCTCGGAGAGAAAGCTGCCTTCGAGTTCCGACTGAAGCCAGACAGTCCCACAGTCCCGCTTCTCCGTTGAGTCTGGGTCCCTAGAGACTCGCCCAGATCTGGAGCTCAGAATCTGAGACTCCCTCCCGATTGAAAGCACCAACCGCGCCCTCCGCCGCCAGCCAGCTCCGCGCACACTCCGTACCTGAGTATTTCACTTCAGCACTGCGCCTCCTCTGAGTCTGGGTATGATATTCTCTTTCCTCCCAGTTGTAGAATTTCCACTCAGCCAGCCTTCCTGTGGTTCTGGATGATGTCCGTTCCGTCTTATAGGTGTATTTTGATTTGGTTGTTCAAGGCAGCAATCTCCGGCGTTAACCTATGCCGCCATCTTGGTTCTCTCCCCAGTTTTTGTCATTTTAAAAATTAATATATTCACGACTATACATTTCTCTTTAAGCATGCTTTAACCTTGATTTTTAAATTTCTTAAATAACAAATTAATATTAAATTTTCTCAAATTTTAATATGAAGTCCTTTGTTGTTATTTCTTTTAGACATGTAGACTACTTGGGAGTCTGTTCTTTAGCTTTCAAATATAAGACTTTTTAAAAAGTCTTTTTTTTTTTTAAGTCTTTTTTCTTTTTAAATCCTCACCCAAGGACATGTTCATTGATTTTTTTTAGAGAGAGGTTAAAGGGGCCGGGAGAGAGAGAAACACTGATTGGTTGCCTCCTGTCCATGTCCTGACCAGGGCTGGTCATCAAACCTGCAATCCTGGCATGTGCCCTGACTGGGAATCGAACTTTAGACCTTT